TAATAACTAATATATTATATATATATACAGTTGAACCTGTTTAATCTCAAAAACCTCTATATTTCAAAATTTCTAAAATTCTCTACATTTACTGTCTAAAATCAATGTATTTTCCCAGCTTATGTCAAAACTTTCTTTATCAGTAGAACTTGCTGACAGAGATGAATTTCATGAGCCCACAGGAAGTAGGGATGAACAGGTTGGGGTGTTTCTTGGAATTTTAATCACAATATCCCTGCACTTCCTTAACTAGAAAGGAATGCAATGATTCTGGCAGTAAGTGAGGGATTAATGAGTAGTAATCACCAGGGGTTAGCTTTTCAACATAGATAAGAAAGCTAAGAATAGAAATTCATTTTCACCTCAAAATTGAACCAATGGATCTAAGAACAATTAGGAGTTTTAAAGTGAAGTATAGAAAACAGTTGGTATGCAAACTTGTAGATGCCATTGATGAAAAAAGTTCTCTTCCAAAAATAAAGATGTTAGATGCTATCAGAATTATTGTTTTGCCTGGAGAAATGAGCCTCTAAAAAATATCCATAATGGTTTTAAATAGCTGGTTTTAAGAATAGCTGTGAAGATGATGAACAAGAGGGTGAAGGCATCAGTAAAGAAGAAGAAACTGTTGACGCTGAAAATGCAGTGACAGATTTGCCAGAATAGAAAGCAATAAAATCAGGATTCAATGTTAACATTAACTTTGAAGATTTTTACAAGGGGACAACTGCCTGGCAACATGAGGAACATTGACAGATGCAGAAATCATAGATAATGTCAAAGGAATATCAGATGAAGAGGAAGAAGCTGAAGATCATATTGATGAACCAAAAGTGAATGCAAAACAGATAGAAAAAACTGTAGAATTCTTATAAACTATTCTTGAATCCCAGGAAAATGTTGGCTATGTGGGATTTGCACTCTTTCTAACCTTAAAAGAATAATCGAAACAATTAATGTTACAAGTCAAAAATCTCAGATTTTTTTTTTCAGTGTATGTTAGAAAAATTTTATGTGAATAGATGCATGTGGTACATTTAATTTAATGAAGTGCCTATATTTTTCTACTAAAAACAATTAAAGCACTTTTCATAGAATTTCTCAAATAAATTAAATATTTTAAAGTACCTGTATAACTCGAAACCTCTTTACCTCAAATTTTTCGCCTTTCCTGTGAAATTTGAGATAAACAGGTTCGACTGTATGTTTATAACTATTGGATTGCCAATAATAGAAAAAAAATCATTGCAGAAACAAATATTTTTATCATGATTTCAAAATTATCTTAAATTGAGTTATAAGTATAATTCAGTTACATAAATAATTATTTTCAGTTTAACATAGCATTTCTATAACACTTTGTATACATTAATAAATAGAGTTATGGTCAAATTGCAAACCCTAAAGAAAAAATATAACATAGTGTTTTCCCAAAGTTTTAAAATTACTATAAGCATATCTAATGGAAATAAACATACTTGTTGCATAGTAATATCCCAATCTGTAGGTAAAACAGGAAATTTTCTCTCAGTAAATATAGGAACATCCTGGTCTTTTACTTCAGGTGGTTTTGGATAAACTCTGATTACATTCAAAAAAATAGTATTGGAAGCATCTAAAATATAAATTATTTTTGTACAATGTTTAATTCATCTTTAAATAAATATTTTCCATAATTTTTATTTTCTACATAAAAGGAGTATAATTGAAACATGAGAAAAATTAAGGTTTGATTAATTAGTTTTTTCATTCACAAGTTATTTCTTTTTTTAAAAAAAATAATTAATTTGAAATAATCTACAATCAGAAAATAAAGCTATTTTGAATAAAAGCTATTTTGAATAAGATTTTCCTATTAAGAATATCCAATGGGAGGAAACAAATTTGTTATGCAGAGAAACAACTAGTTGAAACGGGGAGAAATTCCAGATCAAACAGGCATAGGGTTAAAAAAACAGAGAATTTTCCGGAAGTATTACAATGGGATGGGAGAAGTTTAAAAATATGAAATCATTAAGAACCTAAAAACTTCGTATGGACTTCTAGTGATAAAATAAAAAGTAAATTGAAATTTATTCTACAATTTTCATATTATTATTTGAATTGTTGAATATGTTCTCCTCACACATTATTGTTGGCCAGAATATAGAAAGCAATACGTCTACGATAAAAAATGTATTTCAACAAAAAATAAGTCAAAAATAATAACTAATATATTAAACTTTGAAAGATACATCTTTCTTACCTAAAAATTTTAAAAAAAATTAATATAAATTGAAATGATTCTAATAAGAAAATTATCCTACATATCAATTGAAACTGAACTTCATTTATTTTTCAAAATACATATATGATACAAAGGATAACTGAATAAGTTAAAGCTAAACTAAAATAATTTCAAACTATTTTTTTAGAAAATAGTGTATATCTTTGATTTTGTATAAGCTTATACTAAAAAAATCATTAAGTTTTCAAAAGAGTATATATATATATATA